CGGGGAGGAGCGGGGTGGCAACAGGGTGGGGCGGCGGTCGGACAGGGTTGGGACGGAGCGGAGCAGCGGCGGCCCGATCCGAGTCGTAAGATGGCAGGCGGCGGGCGTTGAGGGGCGGAATCCGCGACAGGGGCGAGGCGGAGGTGGATCCACGGCGGGGCGGCGGCGGCCGAGCGGGAGGAGGACGATTGGAGGCGCGAAAGTGGAATGAAGGGCGTTGGCGGTAGGCGCGCGACTGCGGGATTTACATCCCCTCAACCTAGCTAGAGATGTAAATTTGCATCACGAAGTGTTATATTTTACATTTCTCGGAGATGGATGTGTAAAAAAAGTTGTATCTACATCATGTGTTGAAGACAGTTTTTTGGTCTCTAAAGATGCAGAAGTTATGTATTTTTGTATCCGAGTCATCTATTAGAGATGCTGTTAGTCAGCACATACTCCCTTCGGATGGGAAAAAGTCTGGCATGAGGACTTATGTGGTTCCTAGCAAAACATGTATGAAATGCCATAATATACATGTGTTCAGAAACTTCATTCGATCACAGATTTAAAAATACATTCTTTTTATAAAACACAACACATTTTTCGCTAATCCACATAACTGAATCATGCATGCACATGCATATTTCATTGTTTTTAGGGAACATGCATATTTCTTTTTTCTTTTGCGATGAAGGGAACATGCATATTTCAAATGTACGCGTGCGTTTGTATGAAACTCCGCGTGAGCTTAGTACATGTCACAGGACGTATGCGCATGTTTTTGTATATATTTGCCTTAATATGGTGTTCATTTCGAGGGGGTAAAGTTGGTGCATGTCTAATTTGGACGAGATTTGCCTGCTCCTTTATTGTGTGCCCATCCGTGCTCCTATCTACGTGGCTTGATTTGATTGGAACAAAATAAGGTCCGACCCCACCTTCTTAAAATCAGGGGGAGATGATTAGATTAGAAAGAAAAAAAAGAAAGAAGACAACCGTAAGATTAAGTGGGAGCACGGGAAGAGAGCAGGCAAGCCGGATTCGTCTAATTTACACTATAAGGAACATACATGCATCTCGAAGAAGCATAAATTCTTCTTGTCAAATCCCGCTCTTCAAAAAAAAAAATCAATGCCCATATGTGCACGAGCTGTTTCAACTTTTACAATTCTAGGACACCGACTCTAGCTAGCCGAGTCTTATTAGCTAGCTGGGTAATTGAGGACAATAGTATTTTGTATTATAACTAGAATAATGCCCGTGCGTTGCAACAGAATATAAATATTATAGCACGTTAGCTTGTGATTTATCTATCAATAATAATGTGATTTTATAAATAAATATTTATTAAATCATGACCGTGAATTATCTTATATTTTAATTAAAAGTTTGATAAGTAAATTGAAGTAAAATTAGTTCAGAAGGTAAGTAAATTAAGATGATTGATTATCATATAAATGAAAGGTTGGATGAAAAGGTGATGAAGAGAAAAGTGAAATGGGAACTTTACGTTTTTTTAAGTAGTAGAAATGCGTGTCGCTAACCAAATTCCATGGTCATAACTTTCAACGATGCTCATGATACGACAGCCAACATGTTTGAACACAGTGAAGGTTTGACCCCAGCCACGACTGCAAGCGCCACCACAGAACAGTAAACCTTCCATTCCCCTCTCTCTCTTTCTCTCTCTCTCACCACACACTCGGGTACTCATGATCCAATCAAACATTCCATCGGCTATAAAAGGAGAGCCCCAAGCAAATGCCAAGAATCATAAACACGGCACATATGCATTCACACCGATCCAAATCTAAGCTCTAGCTAGCAGCTAGCTATATACCATATACTATCTCCTACGTGATCAGTTCGTTCGTCAGCGACCAACCGACGATGAGGGAGCTGATCCGGAGGCTGAGCTTCTCGGACCGGGTGAGCGACGGCAGCGGCGGCGTGCCGCGCGGGTGTGTGCCGGTGCTGGTGGTGGGCGATGGCGACGAGGAATGCGAGCGGTTCGTGGTGCGGGTCGAGGCGCTGCGGCACCCGTCGCTGGCGGCGCTACTGGAGATGGCGGCGCAGGAGTTCGGGTACAAGCAGGAGGGCATCCTCCGCGTCCCCTGCGCCGTCAACCAGTTCAGGCGGGCGCTCACCACCTCCGCCGTCTCCAAGAACTACTGATTACTAATTAATTCTCTAGCTGATCAATCAAGCAGACCGAACCTTATCGATCGATTGGCTTTCTGGGTACTTGAGGAGCGATTCATTTGTGCTGTTGACTAGTTGAGTCTCCTCCCCATCTTTTCTTCTCTTTCCATTTTGTTTTCTTCTGGTTGGGGAATGACTGCCATATGTATGCATGTGGGCTGTATAATGCGCACTGTCATTTACGGTTAGACCTCCTGTCAAAAATAACAATTGAAACAATTGGTTATTCGGTATGCATGTGTCTCCTTTCTAATACTGGTTAACTTCCCTTCCAAAAAAATATGGCTCATTTTTTGGGCTGTTTTTTTAGCGAGTGAGAAATTAATTCAGTGGACGCATGTTTACTTTTCATGATGCAGAGGTTGAGAACTTGAGATATAAGCCCATCTATTGCTTTCATTTCTTTTTGCTTGTTCATTTCTGTGCCCATGGATTTTTTTTAGGGTTATTTCCATGGGAAGGCATATGTTAACCAAGTCCAAGCCTCACGAGAACACCTTTTTTTTTTGATAAATACAAACATAAATTCTTGTTTTTTAAGCAAAAAAAAGTGGCTAGCTCTATCTCGGACACAAGTAAACCCAGGTCTTTTTGTTGTTCTATAAATCTTAGCCATTATGTCTATGCAGTGAAGAAATGCTTGGGTTTCTTGTAGAAAGAAGAAGAAGACGAAGAAAAAGTCTCTTTGGCTGAATTTTCTTGCTCATAATGCTCCATGTATCTTGCTTTCTTAAAATATACCCCCTTAGTCGAAAATACTTGTCAGATAAATGGATGTATCTAGACATATTTTAATTCTATAAATACGTTCATTTACAAGAGCCGTTTCTGAAGGCGGGCACTTCATACCATTTTTTGTAAGACCTTACTTGGAATATCAAAAAATACCCATGCAAAAAAATAATTCAAAACACCAAATGGACATTTAGTATTTTTTCACTTTAATAGTCTGTAAATATAAACTTTGAACGCTGAATGTATTTTTTATTTTGCATACAACAACTTATTTCTTGCTGGGAAAATCCAGTTATCTTCGTGGATCAAGGCAGTCCATCCTTGTTGTTGGCTCTCAATTTACTGGTGGATTTGATTGTGCATGTTATCTCTGTTGATGTATTTTCCTCTGGTCCTAGCCGACCGATGGGGGTACCTCTGCAAGGTTGAGACCCCCATTTGCCTGGGGTTTTAAACAGTAGCACGTTCGAACATGGAAGTGTTTCTTGGTATACCTATGTGGTCGTGCGGCTTCATGGTTTGGGATTAGTCCGCATGACTCATAGGGTTTTGCTTGTTTGCCCTCGTAGAACAATTTTGTAACTAATTTCGTCTGATTTATACTAACTAATTGGGTGATACGCTTCTGCGTAATTAATGGATAAGACTAATCATTTGCCTCCATTTGAAAAGAAACATAGTAGAATATACTCTAACAAAGTGTTCTAGAGCGGATATGAGAACGCCTGGATGTACCCGAACACGTTCGCCGCATTGGACTGACCGCCAGGGCCCACATGGTCGCACGTAGAGATCGGCAGTCCGATGGACGCCTCATCCGTTCTCGATGTGGATGCATTCACGGCGCCGCATGGCATTGCTCAGGCATGCCGTCCGAGGGAGCAAGCTCGTCTATTTAAGCCAGACAGCGGCAGCAGAACCCTAGCCTATCTCATTCCTTCCCTCTCC